GATTATCTCATTTATCTTTCCTATTCGAATCTAATTATAAACCACCAAAACCATTGGATCATGTTGATGCGCTCACATTATCCTTACAATTGGCTTCCTTTCTTCCTCGTTAACTCTCCTTATTCTTACTTTTTTCCCGAACATCTTTCATCCCTATTTTTCTTTTATGTTTTTATCGCGCAACGTTTCGCTTGTTGCACTTTCCGATGTTTATATCCCAATGATTGTTTACGAGCTTTACGTTGTTTTCCATCAGTAAACCAATAGGAGTGACTGCGCGACATTTGAAAGTAATTTACTTGTTTACTCAATGGCAAATCCATATGTTACTATTTTGTGCGATATCTGATGCGATGAGGAATTCGTTCCCATCACGCCTATCGTATGATTATTTACCTCAGCATCTGGCAAAGTTAGCTATTCACCCAAGTCAGCAGGTCATGACTTGATGACTTCAGTGGTGAAAAGTTGTGTGTTTTGTATTATTTATAAATGAGTGAATCAACGCAAAAATACTTGATTTTATAATGACGGATAGGTAGCAGCTTATTGTAACATGAACAATAGGATTACACTCATACGAGTGAGCGATTTCATAGTATCACTATACGATACTGTTTTGGTTATTTTTGCATGTGACTATCAGTGGATTTGCTATTGTTATGATTATTGCTATTGTTGATATTATTATGATTATTCTAGTTACAATGATAATATTCATTGTTATCATTATTATGGTGTTGTCCGTATTATAATAATGTTGTATATATAATGTGGGTAATATTATTTGTATTTAGCGAAGTACCGTACGTCTAGTAAACGAGTACTCTTACTAATAAAGCAAAATTATTATGAGTTTCCTCATTACTGGCGGCGTATGGTTGAGGTCTGGGCTTTAGATTAGGCTTAGGTTTAGACTTAAGGCAAAGTTTTAAAATTGAATCAGTGTAGATTTGAACTAAGTAATTTTATTACCGCATCATTGAGATATTGTCATTTATCAGTCTCGCTATACGTCACGTCGGGTTGTGTCGTGTTAGATTCATTTCCTCTCCATTTGCACGGAACCTAACGAATCACTAACCTTCAGGAGATGGCACCTGATAACCTGAAGGACCTTTTGCTCGGCAATCAGACGGATGCGGAATTCGAACAGAATATCGCCGAATTCGAACGACTCGCGGCTTACATTGAAACAGAAAACGCTGACGTCGACGTTGAGACAAAACCCGCTGAACTACCTGGACAAATGCAGAAGATCCGAAATGATCAGGTAAGAGTGTGTGGCGTTGATGATTTTTTGATAGTGAGCGCGATTAGAGCAAAGATAATGTTGTTGTCATTGATGTAACTATCACTGTCGTCATTTTATGCGAAGTTATTGTTAGCAATATTACTGTCATTATTGTTTGTTTGTTTGATTTGTCGTAACTGAGCTATTGTTTTGCCGTTTGCTCAGATTTGCATTTTATGATTATATGCACAGAAACATTCAGTACGTCAATCTTACACTGTATTTAAATTGTGAATATTTGAAACGAATATGAGCTGAATTTAGGTCATGAATATGGCTGGTGGTTATGTGTTTCAAGTGAACGATTTGAATCGTATTCGACGATTTTTGATTTTGGGTACTGAAGGAGGTACGTACTATGCGACTGAAAAGGAGTTGACAATGGATAATGTGAAAGCAATGTGCGAAATTATTGAGAAAGGTTTGATTTTAGTGTTTGTTGTTGGTGGTTGTCGTTAATTTAGTGTACTCGAATTTTTTGAATTCTTTAATCAATGCGCAAATGGTTTTAAATGTTCATCCCAAATCGTGCTCATATTCTGATTTTGAGGTATTTCTACCGGGCAAAATTCACAAGTCGAGAATTTCAGGCAAAGGACCAATGCTTTTGCGTGAGATCATTCGCATCTCACTGGAGGGTCG